CGTCGTGTGTGTGTGTGTGTGTGTGTGTGTGTGTGTGTGTGTGTGTGTGTGTGTGTGTGTGTGTGTGTGTGTGTGTGTGTGTGTGTGTGTATGTGTCCAGTCCGCGCGGCGCGATCGATAGCGCGTCGAGTCAGCGAGCGGGTGGCGCGATCGATAGCGCGTCGAGTCAGCGAGCGGGCGGCGCGATTGATAGCGCGTCGAGTCAGCGAGCGGCGAGTCAGCAGCAGGCGAGTGAGTCAGCAGCAACCACCAGCGAGCGGCGAGTCAGCAGCCGCAACCAGCGAGCGGCGAGTCAGCAGCAGGCGAACCAGTCAGCAGCAGCCAGCAGCGAGCGGCTGGAATACAGTTGTACACATACATGTTACATGCTGGCGGAGGTATGCACTCTCCGTGAGTGCCCTCTGTCTAGTTATATACTGTTTTTATATACTGTTATTATATATACTGTTTTTATATAGGCCTACTGTTATTACATACAGCTCAGTGCTCCCACCAATTGTTCGCAAAGGTTGCACAGGTATGTCTGTAAACGGGCCGCCGCCTTCTCTATTTTTGTGGTAATATCTGGCATTGGAATGTGTGATTTATAGCTACTTTTACGCTGATTTATATCCTACTAGCGTGCATTATGCACGTAAGATAGCTGCTCTATACACGCCTATAAAGTATGAAAAGTGAAATTTGTTTGGAGCAAAATTTCTGCAATTCTGCCAAGTTTGTGCTCGGGGTTATACGGTTAGGTTTGAACAACGGGATCCGGAAAATTGCTGAAAATGTGCACCATGTCGCTGGCAAACGTTTAGAGTGAATTTTGGACATTGAATATTTTGTATTATTTAGCATGAATAAAAACTACATTGCTTATGCATTGATTTCTAAGTATTTTAATTACTGTTGGTGTTATGCTGATTCGAGCCCGTTGTATGTACACTCCACGCTGTGTGATGATCATCACACTGCGTGGAGTGTAGTTGTATGCGGACGCCATCTTATAATGAGAAATAATTTCCCAATGGCGACCATATACTAAGCTAAAAATCTCGACAAAATAGACACTTTGAAATTTTTTATTGAAACCCAGTGAAATTTTATTGCAAGGCACAATATACATATATTGTTAACTGAGATATACGACCATATTTCTTGCAAGATTTTTACGAAAAATCAGCCAATTCTCGGTGTGCTCTTACAATGAAAAGAAGTGATTTGGCATGTGCATTTTTAATCCGGCCACGAACGCAAATAGAAAGAGCCAACAATCAGCCGTATAAAACGTGAAGTCTAGTTTTCGATAATAACTATAATTCCCATGCATGCAGCCTGTCTTGTTTGAGAGATTAAAAGAAATTGTCTCAGTCTGTGCACTTACGTCGTCTGTGCACGTACGTCGAACGTTGAATTATTGCACTGCATTCAGCGATTTAGATTTTGATCGTCCTAGGGACAATTGTCCAGGGGGGAGGGGGTAATTGTCTCGGGGAATTTCCCGATAGACGATTGTTCGGTGGTAATTGTCCAGGGAGTAATTGTCCGGCGGGTGATTGTTTTTTGGTAAAGGTCCGGAGGGGGTGCATTCAGCGATGATTAGCTGATTTTGCGAGTGTCATAATTATACCTAGAAGTAGAAGAAGATAAATCTACATAGTGGTTAGTGTCAGTCCGGTCGCTCATAGTGCTTTCATACTATGACTCAGGTACCATAGCGAGTGCAGCTGTACACAGTAGCAGGCATCGCGTTTCCCTCATCTCGTTAAGCCTAGCGCAGACTTGCGATTTATGGTTGCTCGTCGCTGCAACCTGCAACCGCAAGCGATCGGTCGCACGCCTCACCGCGTGTGCGCATGCAAGCGACTGCTGTTGCAACTTGTTTTGTTCAATGTTTTAGGAGTTTTCATGCCACTAACACTAGATGGAGTCTCCTATTTTATAGGGCCATTCCACCATTAAAAAATCGATTTGCCATAACTCACTCAAAAACATTCAATCATGTGGTAGAAAATTGACCCAATGAGGCAATATATTAGTATACCTTATATATTATGATATTATATGATGAATAAGAAATAATTTTATAGTATTATAGGCCTAATATTATAAATCATAGCTAAATAATGAATTATATTATCTACATATAACTCTTCATACGCAGGCCCTTATACGCAGGCATGATTATTTCAGTGTTGCAACTCCGACGGATAGAGACATACATACATAATAACACGCATTTTTCATGTGATGAGATGGTGCTCGCTGATTGGTCGGACGAGAATTTTTCATCGTTGCAAGTCGTTGTCTACCCGCACACATGCGATTTCGAAGCGATTTCGGAGCGATTGCGAGCGACGAGTTGTTGAGAATCAAATCAGTTCGTTGCAAGCGACCAGAATCGCTACGGGTTGCAGTTGCACGTTCCCGCAGACGTAGCGATTTCACAGCAATTTTGACTGCGATTCTAGAATCGCTGCCGAGTTTCGTGAAAAAGTCGCAAGTCTGCGCTAGGCTTTAGCCAGGATCACTCCCGCAACTTTCATACAGTTGCTTGTCGAAATACTCGCTTATGCGAAAAAACAATCCCCTTATAAATAATTTTATCAAAAGGTCATTTAGGAATGGTATATATTGTATATATTATGAGGAAAGAATATATCAAATAGATTTGAATTCAATCACACAAATGCATATATAGAACACACATAGACCATATGCCATACGGAAATATATTAAGACTGGCAGGAAGTAGGAATCCGAAAATGTCAGCAAATGCGGACACCCAAAGGGAGAGCACTGGCATTTAGGTGCTTGAGGCACTTTTAGTTTAGCTCAGAAGCCCGCTCACCAACGTCCGACAAAGCCATCGCGGGCTGTTTTAACAGTAAACTTACAACACGTGTTGTTATTTCGCAGGTGCCGACACACACACACACACACACACACACACACATACG